TTTTTTTCTTATTAATATTTTTGATGATTGATCCTTTTCCTCAAGTTTTACAAATTTTATTTACAAATTTTTCATCCTACCTATAATTTCATTAATGACCATTTCTTCTTTCTTTGATGTAGCCATTAAAGGTTAAATCATAGATGTAGGATAGATAGTATGAAATTTTATCTTAAATACTTACAATGGTTTTTAAATACCAACTATGTCATTTCTCTTTTTACTTTTTACAAACAACTCTACTATATCTTGCACTTTCTTCTAATTTTTTTATCAATTCTTCATCTTCTTTTTTATCAATAAGTAGAATTTCTAACTTTTTTTGTAATTTTTTATTAGTCCCTCGAAGAAAAATTTATATTTTATTTGGATCCAATAATTGCCTCTCTTTTTTAGATAAATAAGAATATTGTCTTTCAAATACTTCCAATAATTCTATTATTTCAACATCATTGTTAGGCCTTGCAATCCATTTAAAAAATGACTTCTTTGTAACATGATTACTATCTTCTAAAGTAATATCTTATAATGGACTTAATATGATTTCTTATTTTTGGAACAAAAGCTAATTCAAATAATTAAACTATCTCTTTTTCAAAAACATACTTCAAGTCTATTTGTTCAATACAACATCTTAAATATTTTGAAATATCTTGGTCTTCAATTGATTAATCTTGTCTATAACTGATTACAATTTATTTTTTTTCAAATCCTATTTTTTTAACTTTAACTTGTTGCTATTATATGAATAAAGCAAATGCATCAAACATGCCTGCAAAGTTAGGATTAAAATACATATCTTATCATCTATTAGTACCACAACTTGTGGCTCTATTAGCAACTCTATATAAAGCTCTAATTGAAGTACCATGTATAACTCCTTCTACAACTATCTTTAACTTCTATTTTTATAATTCAAACAAATAAAGATAATAATAATGATAATAAAATAAATAAATAAATAAACACACCTTCTACTCTAAACTTTTTAAGTTGGATTCACCAAATATGCCATATAATATATTGTCTTGCTTGAAAATATACTAGACACTTGATTGTCAAAGCTAAGTTAAAAATTTTAATTATAAAGCTCGTAACATCTCTAATAGAATCCTTAATAAAATCTAATTAAATTTTATAAATATTAAAAAAAATTATAAAAATTATAAAAAATTAAGAGATTATAAAAAATAAAAATAAAAAATAATAATTTAAATAAATCCTATATAAATCTTAATCAAATATGTAGAGTAGTTTTAAAATCTCAATAACTATTATTTGAATAATTGATTTTGACTAAAATAGTTCTAACATTTTAACCTTCAAGCAAACAACAAGCATACAAAGTCTAAGAAAAATCAAACTTATCAATTGAAAAAAAGAGCTCTTAATACTCTTGAGTATCAATTTTTTTTTTTTTTTTTTTTTTTTTTCTCTAATGTAGATATTGATCTTCTAGCAACAATTAATCCTTCTTAAATTTTTCAATTGCTCTTCTAATTTACAAAGGTATAAAAATCCAAGTATAAATATTCTCACAATCTTTTGCAAGGTCATAGAAAATCTCATTGATCTTAAAAATTCAAAATTTGGAGATCCTAACTCAATCAAATTTCTATATCTTTCAATTTAACTATTAAATTGATATCAAATTTTAACTATATACTAAAATTATATATATTTATAAAACTACATAATTTTATTTATAAATCAACTATAATAATTATAAATTATTCAAATATATAAGCCTCTTTTATTTTTTTAAATCCAAGATCATTAAAAGCATTTCATTTTTTTAAAATCTTTCAAAATCTTAAGATCTCTCCAAATTACTTAAAACTAAAACAACCTTCTTAAAGTTTTTTTTTCTAACTTTGCTCTTCAATGAAAAAAGAAAATCTTAGAATTACCATAGGTATATAATTTTGTGCCTTAATATTTGATTTCAATCATAATTTACAACCAATCATCTCCAAATATTAATTCTTAGTTTCTTAAGGTCATTTGTACTATAAAATTCTCTTAATACCTTCTTTAAGATGTTTATAATAATTTTTTTTATATATTTTTTTTCTTTATTTATAGCCATATAAAGTGAGTAGAAATCCATTTTGAAAAAAAAAACCTTTAGTACTTACTTATTTTACTACCTCTTTGACAATTATCTATACTTCTAAGATAATTTATTATAATATTTTTATTTAAGCTTTTTTATAATATAATCCATATTTTTTTCTTGTACTTAAAATTCATATTACAATAAAATAATATGTAATATTTATTGGCAACTTGTAGCCTAAATTGACTATATGGCACACATATAGGAAACTTATCTTGCAACTTAAATACTTGTCTTATAAGTTAGACATGTATCAAAGGTTCTATATAATATCATCATATAGCTCCTAGTTAGATAGTATATATGGGGGCAAGAGTAATACCTTTCTCACTCTTATTAACACCTCTCTTATTCTTAGTCTTGTTTCAAGAGTCTTTAATCTTCTTGTCTTTGGCAATAGCCAATATAGCTATAATACTATATTATTTTTGAATGAACATCTATTCTTTTAAAATGATATAAGAGTTTATTTTTATTTTTATTTTTTGTGATTTATGTCATTAATACCATATTTGATTGTATTTTTTTAGTAAGTCTTATTTTATTTTTTGAATTTAATGTCCAAGTTTTTTATAATAAAAGTATTTTATCAAAAATTTGATGATTTATTTCTGAAAAGGCTTAAAATATATTTTTTTAATTATTAAATTTTTAGAATTTTTAGAATTTTTATATTATTACATAGCTTCTTTCTTACATAATAGGCTGATGTATTTTCAAAAGTTAATTTAATATCTTTTCTTAAAGTCCCTTCTTGAATTAAATTTGTTATTAGTGATTGTAAAGTACTACTTGGTTGGCCTCTTAAAGAACTAATAAAAGATCTATAAGGTGGTAACAAACTTTTTATCGAAGTCAAAATTGCTTCAACATTGGTATAAGATATCTTATTATAAAAAATTGTTTAAGATGTGATCTAAATACATAAATGTTATTCCTTTATTTTCTTTCATCTTAAGAGCAAATAATTTATTTTTAAAATGTGTATTTTTAAGTGCATCTTATAAGTCGACTACACTTTTTAATTCTTTTCATGCGTCATTTGATATCTTATATGATTATATATGACAAGTGATATTATTTTTTCTATGAGATTTCATTGCTTTTTACCTTTTTTTTAAGAGTAAAAACAAGACAATTTTTTTTGGTCTAGCCCTCTTCTTATAGAACCATATAAGATAATTGTCCATCATATGGCTTTATTTATTTGGAAAGTATCATGTTGGCCAAAATAATATTAGAACATGTTGTAATCTTATCTTTTTGATAATTGACAAAGATAATATATCTTTATCTTTGCATTGACTTAAATTTTTTGTTCTTAAGGTAAGGAAAGATGGAATACTAACAGCCATTTTAGCTATAGTTGGTATAGGTTTACTACCAAATACTAATAACTATAATTTTTTTGCCTTAAAAACAAATAGTAGTTCATATTGCCAAATGTTGAAGTAAGAGCCATTACATTTAGAAACATGGTTGATATCAACCAAGTGTGTCATTCTTAGTGGTATGATTTCACTATAGAATGAAATTTAAATTAGTTTATAAATTTAAAAATATTATTGAAAATACTTTTCTATCCATTATATTTATGAATAATATTTTAATTTGTACAAGGTGAGCATTATCTTCCATGAAATGAAAGATTGAAGATTCAGCACCAACTAAAACATTTACATCAAATTCTTGATGTATAGGCATTTTCATATGATTCTCAATTATGAACATTCTTTGTGCATAAGCAACAAATTTAAATTTTCTATATTTGCTGATCTTAACTCAACTCTGATACAATGTAGAATCATTAGAGATTAGAAGAATTGCATAATTGTGTAATAAAAAATAATTGAATCAATACATGAAGGTCTGGCCTTAAGTTGCAGGATAGAGACACAACTGTTTGGATCACTGTATACACCTTTATACATCTGAATTTTCTACTAGTATAATATACATAAACGTAGAAATATCCTACTATTGTATTAATTGTTTCTGTAAAAAAAACACAATCCGAGCGTAGTCGCTTACAATCTTATAATGAAGGCATGCATGAAACTCATAGAAATATACAGTTTTTGATTCCTAGCAATGTTGAGCAGCAGGAAATATCAACCCAAAGTTCGGCCAACTGTTCTTGGTGGGCTGCTCATGAAGAGTCGAGCAATTAATACCATGTTCATCCCTTCATCAGGTGATAAGGTTATAATAAATACCTGTTAATGAGTGAAGTTAGGAGTCGAGTTGCTTCGTTTCTCATGTGCAGATCTATACGTCCTAGAACGCATACAAGTTTGTATTGAAGAATGATGTTCGTGAGCGTTATTCTGAGGTGTCGCACCTCAGATTTTCGTGTGCGACCGAACTCAACGCAACTTTCACAAGAGGCCAGGGGAAAAAAATTCATGGGTCTGTAAAAATTGTCTTGGCTAGTGCTAACCCGTAAACTTTCATTACCTCCCGCCTGATGGTCTCCTATTCAGTTGAGACAAGAGGAATCGTGAAATAACCTTTTTACTAGCCATTTTTACCTCACACAAGAGTTGTTAAAGATGAAAGCGTGGTCACTGCTTCCACGTGAGTACATCCATAATGCTTGAAACCAGAATCATTATGAGTTCGGAAGTGGTTTCTATGACAACGACGCAGGAGTATGCTAGTATGACAACTATGGCTTGTAGCCATTCCCAGCCTGATGAGGTCCACTAAAGTATCTTGCATTGAATAATTCTATGCCGATTGAAGTATACACTAATAACGTGCTCCTGACAACTTGAGTTCTATCATCATCATAATCACTTAGCAAAATGAATATTTAGACATTTTTTTTAAAGAGGAGGACGATCACAAGACCCCATTAGAGGGCATGTGGTGTGTTTCTCATTAACTCAGTCTACCCCGCATGCATCTCACCACATGATATCCTCTGCATTGAGCAAATTTTCAAAGGGTGAAGTAGAATTGCGGGAGGCTCTCATTTTAGGACAACCTGAGCGATGTAGAAGTCCAAATCTCCAAGTGATTTTCCCCCGAGAAGTACGAGTATTTAAGTCCACCATGCTGGTCTAAGTTTGATATAATCTTATTTTCGAGAACTACTCCTCCGTCACCGCGATTCATCAGCTTTAACTGTCATAAACTGTGTAGCTGCCTCAGATAATCTCCAGGAACCGTTCTCTTCGATATAGGCTCTGAGGATGTGTAAATTCAGATTCCCACTCTCGCTTGAAACAGACATAATAGCTCTCCGGAGAATTCTACATATTTGGACGAAGGATTGTGTCTAGCACTGATTCTGTAATTCTGGTTTGAGTTCAAACCGATTTGAACTGAAGAAAATAGAATGTCCATGACGGCCACTGAGCTGATTTAAATTTGACCTGGTTTTAGTTGGATTACCGTTCCTGCACAGAACTGCATTCGGTTCAAAAAGAAATGGCGAAGTTCTTCGGAGCTGCCATTGCCATAAGTAGTTTGATTCTCTTCATAGGCACAGTTGGCATATTGGGAATGGGACGAGACCATTTCATGAACAGCTCAAAGTCCGTCGATTACAGGGATTATATAACAGGTGTGGTTATCTTCGGGGACTCCACTGTGGATGTAGGCAACAACAATTACCTTCTCACCGTGGTGAAGAGCAATTTCGAGCCGTATGGAACAAAATTCGAAGGGGGAGGTGCCGCTGGTCGCTTCTGTGATGGGCAGATAGCCATAGATTTTATAAGTGAGCGTCCTCTCTGCGGGAATGCATGATGTTTCTATCAGTCAAGCCAAAATGACTGATTCTCTTACATTGTTTAGTATAGTTCATAACCTTTCTCCAATAATGGAATGTTAATCTCTTTGGTTGTTGAATGAATTGGCAGCTCGAAAAATTGGCTATCCGTTGCCGCTACCATATTTGGCACCCAACGCGCATGGAAAAGCCATTCTCACTGGCATCAACTTCGCATCATCAGCTTCAGGCTGGTATGATAAGACGGCTGAAGCCTTCGTAAGAACCCGTTCTATACCTTGACCACTAATCTCTAACTTGATCAGTAACCAAATATTTGTATAAGTTTTCATACTTCTCTTAGTGACATTTTAGATACAAAAAACCCTATTATTTGTGCAGAATGTGAAAGGGTTGACGGAACAGCTTCTGTGGTACAAGAATTGGAAGAACGAGGTGGTGTCCTTGGCTGGTCAAGAGGAAGGGAACCACATCATCAGCAATGCCCTGTATGTTTTTAGCACTGGCTCCAATGACTGGATTAATAATTACTACTTATCCGATGATTTGATGGAGCAATACACCCCCGAAACATACACTACCTTCCTCATCAGCCTTGCCCGCTATCACATTCAGGTGCACCCCATGGTATTCATTTCAAAGGGCACTTCTATGTTCCACTGTTGAATCAAGTTGGTGATATGGTATAGTAACTTTTCATATGTAGATGGACAGGGTTAATACGGTTGATGGTTGAATGCAACAGGAGCTCTACGACTTAGGTGGTCGCAACATTGCGGTGTTGGGGCTCCCGCCGCTAGGGTGTCTGCCTTCTCAGATAACCTTGAATGGCAAAGGAAACCCAGGTTGCGTTGAGGATTTCAACATAGTTGCGAAGGATTTTAATGACCAGTTGCGCGCACTAGTCGCTGAACTGAAGCAGACTTTCCGCAAAGGACGTGTCGGGTACCTGGACACCTACACCATCCTCGACAAAATTGTCCACAATCCTGAATCATATGGTACGCGGTCCTCCGCCGTCACATGGATTTGACTGATAGCTCCTGCAAGATCGTCATGTGTTCCCTGCAGCAGCTCATCTACCACATTTGTGCAGGAATATCTGAGACGAGAATCGGGTGCTGTGGCATTGGGACAATCGAGACCGCAATTCTCTGCAACAAAGCATCAGTCGGCACCTGCCCAGATGCGTTCCCCTATGTCTGGTGGGACAGTTTCCATCCCACCGATCATGTTTACAGTTTGATCGCAGTGGATTTGTTTAATCAGGCTCTGCCTGTATTCGATGGTTCAACTCCCCAGCCCTAAACACTGCTATAGTTAGTCAGTTATGTTGTAAGCGATCTCGGATCATGTGGTCCGAACACAGTCAATCACACATCCGAAGCCCAACTCATACAATGAATGGTGTCGTCACCATCCCACGTCGACAAGAGTTCAGAGGGGCTTCACAAGACGATGCGTACATGACAAGCTAGAAGAACAGTTCGACACCATTGTTGGGTGGAGAAAAGCAGAGGCGTATTCTACACCATTCTACTACATTTTGAAAGAACACCGTACTAGAGAAAAAAACACTACAATATATTATTTGTATAAGTGTTTTAAACATCATTGATCATGGACTGAATTCCAGGATTCGAGTTCAGTATGTTACTGTAATGGAAACAACATTTTTAGGATTCTGATATCAACGATGATCCCACTGCGTTACAAACAAACAAATTACGATGGGATGTTTGTGTCAGTTTCACTGATAAGTTTACTTGTGATCTGAAGTCAGATCAAAGAATAAGTGTGCCTTGCGACCCATGGCTACAAGGCATTTTTAGCCTTGCAGATTCTACAGAACTAAGTATTCGAAGTTCTGTTGACTTACACGTTCTTTAACACATTACACAAAATACATGAATAAATAAATGAAATTTAAAAATATAAACTTAAAAAAACATGTAACCAACTGTTATTATTGTTGTTATTATTATTCCTTTGTTTAATTCTTTTCTTTCCATTTCTTTCTTTTTCTTTTTTTTGTTCTTTTGATTTAATTTAGCTATTGTAAAACATAGAATTCAAAGACCTAAGAATTAAGAATAGTTCAAAACTTTCATATTACACATCTCTTAAACAAATCCGTTACTTATACAATCAATACTTGTGAATCTAAATACTTATGATGAAACAAAATTCTTTGAGTAATATAATATTAAATTAGAAGAACTCCTTTGGATTTTTTCATTTAAAACATATCAATTTTTTTTTCAAACATATATTTTTAAAGATATATATATATATATATATACTAATAAGTGTGTTAATATGCATCTTTAAATTTTTACAACAAAGATAAGAAAAATATTTTATGATCTAAAAGAAATTATCAAAAATAAATCATTATTTCATTTGTAAATATTTACCAAATAAAAAAAATAAATATGTGTATATGTATGTATGTATGATAGAATTTTTATATGCTTAAAATTTGTGTATATACATATAAAATTTTAGTCAATGTGCTGAGAAGAGAGTCAAGTAGAATCCTTATTTTAATCACTAATTAATCCAAAAAAATTAAGGACAAGAGATGTTCCTCTAAATTCTATTGTCTATTCAAAAATGGTAGAAAAAATAATTAAATTCATCTCATATGTTGTTAAATTATTATTAATAATTTTATTATTTATTTTCTATTGATTTTTTAATTTAAAAATAAATAAATATTGGAAAAATCTCTTGTGTCATTATATTTTTTATATAGTAGATTTTATTTTGCTTCATAAAACTATAAATTTTATCAATCCAATATCACGTACTATTTTATTTCCTAAATGCTAAGTAAAATAATCAATTACCTTGTATTAATTTCTTTTTTTAATTTCTTATAATTTTGAATTGTAATGCTTTTTTATAAAAAAATAATATTGCTGTTGTTTTTTCTTTTTATGTTTAAGCATTACATAATAGTTACTTGTTGGACTAAATTTTATTTAATAGAAAGCATATAAATCTATAAGATCATGAGCATATCAATCTATAATTTTTTATTTTCAACTTATTAATGTTATGCTTAGACATTATTATCCATTTGTTTTTTGTTTTTTGTTTTTTTTTTTAATTCTTTTTACATCAAGCTTTGAAGACAATTCTTAGTTTATATTATTTTTAAAAATATATTAATATTTATTACAACTTAAAAAATAATAATAAATTTCATGGATTTTAGTAATTAAAGTGCTACTATTTATACAAAATCTTCTACTATATTTTAATAACTTTCTATATACTATACTATATGTATATTATGTGTTGTCAAATAAACATCTAATCACGTCTTAAATCTATATATGATTTAAAATATAATATAATTCAAAACAATTAAATATTAAATAATAAGAGTAAAATATTCTATATTTTGTATATATTTTGGGTTAGTAATTCAAAATTTAGTAAGAATTTTATAAAAAAATCAAATCATTCCAATAACAAATTTATAAACAAAACATACAAGTTTAATAATTAATTTAATCCTTCATAAAAATAAAATCAAAGAGCTAAAAGTTTCATATCAAAATTTATTAAAATATATAAAATGTTCTATTTTATTAAAAATTCCTCTTTTTTTTTACATTTAGAAGAAAAAAATTGCATCTAATTTTCATATAAAGTTTTGTATAATATTTTAAGAGACTTGCTTAGATTATCTATTCTTGCTTCAAACAACATACTAGACTAAGTAGCTTTAATTTCAATTAGAATCAAATTCTCTAAAAAAATAAATTATTATATTATATTAGGAGGGTATCTTTATTTTCAAATGTTTTATATATAATTTGAAACTATTTACTTTCTATAAAGTATATAGATCCTTGTCAGACTAAAGTATAGATTCTTCAACAACATTTTCTATCAAATAGTATATTTTTGATTATGTCTTGAAAAAATAACTAATTGGAATTTTTTTATATTATATCAATTTAGTAACAAGAAAAAAAAAACAATAACAACAGCAACACTTTCTTTGCATTAACTATTTTGTATTCTATGGATATATGAACAATATTCACACTCTACAAATTAAATAAATTTAAATTTAAATTTAAAATCTTATAATATTTTTGTGTGCAAAACTTGTAAAGTACTTTTTAACTTTACCATCTAGCAATGATTTATGGAAGTTGGCTCTAAAATAACTTATTTAAAATATTATTTATTTTCATCAACATTGTATAAAAGAATTGCTTCTATTTTCTTATTGAAACATACTCAATCTGTTTCAGATCTTTTGAATACATATGATACGTGATAACAAAAATTAACAATTGTTACAACAAACTCTCTCTCTCTCTCTCTCTCTCTCTATATTTATATATATATATATATATATGTATATCAATTTATTTGAAAGTTAATTCAATCATTTTTTAATATAATATGTTCAAACTTGATGTTAATTAGCATATATAAGACAATATAAGTCAAATAAATAAAGATTTATCATTAAAGACTTTATTGCTTATCATAAAAATAAAAATAAAATTTTACTGAATTTTTATTAATTTTAAATAGTACATTATTAATATTGTTTTTGTAAAGTATTTTGTCAAAAAAATATTAGATAGTACAATTTTTCTTGTTAATGTTTTTTTAAAAATCTGATAGAATATTCTCTTACTTTACAAGAATATATTTTGAGATAATAAGTACTACGTATTTCTAAATAACATATCATCTAATAAAAAATTAGAAGCTAATTTTTTTTTTATATTTTATTTCTATTTTCATAATATATAAAAGGCATCTTTATGCACTTGTATATTAAACCAAACACATGTACATTAAAAAAAAAATGTTATATCTATTATGTAAGACAACTTAGATATAATACAAAGAGACAAAGAAGTCTTCTAATTGGCCATGACAAAGGGAACTTGGGGAACATGGGCACAAGGAAACCAAGGAACATATGGGAAGGTGGGAACTATAGAAAATTGGAATGATGGAGGATGGATGAACAAGGAAATGGATGGACGTTCTAGAAGTTGCAGTGTTTTTGCTAGTATGTATGTGTGTGTGTATGTATATATATATATATATATATACAAGTTTAGATACTAAACTTTGAAAAATGTTTGTTTTAAATCCATTTGAAAAAGTAGATTAAAAAGTATGATGTAAGATATATACTTGAAGGCATTTTTTTCTTGAATTGCATCATTTGAAATAAAACAAGGAGATGTAATGGGATAAATTGAATGCATCTCAATCAATGTGCAACCAAAAAAAAGTTAGAAATGCAATCTTATGAAATCTCAGAAACATGAAATGGGAGATGTTAAAACTTGGAAACATACTTTCCATCCCGGCACTGATTCCGAAACTGGGTGGGTGCTGGAGGGCAATGGTCCCATGGACACGAAAGAAGAGAAGAGAATAATAGAATAGAAAACTGGAGCATAGCATCGCATACATGGCAAAATAAAGAGGCACACGTGTCCCCCCCACCCCCCGGGGGGGAGAGGGGAGGAGGGATTGCGGCGGAGAAACCCACCTGGGTGGGTGAGTGTAGAATTAGGGTTAGGGTTCCGTGCTTGTGTTGCACGCAGGACGGGGGTTGTCTATGGTGGGACGGAATCCATGGAGAGTGCGGTCTGAGTTCTAGAGGCGCTGCCACCTGAGCCAGCCCGGGAGTAGCAGCGCGCAGGGGCAGTGCAGTGTAGTGAAGGTCAGGCGACGGAGAGATGGCCCAAAGGGACAGGCGATTGAAGCCCAACATCCTGGTCACGGGGACACCAGGCACAGGGAAGACATCGACATGCTCTTTGTTGGCCGACGCTACAGGTCTTACCCACCTCAACGTTGGAGATCTGGTGAAACTGAAATCGCTTCACGACGGTTGGGACGACGAGCTCGAGTGCTTTATCCTCAATGAAGATTTGGTGAGGCTTTTGACCTTCATGTTGGTTGAGTTTCATCGGTTTTTAGTTGGTGTTTCAACGAAGAAGAGTGATCATGCTTGCGATGCTTTGTGATGTTCCAATTCGTGCCTTTTTTTTTTTTTTTTTTTTTTTTTTTTTTTTTTCTCCCTTTTCTTATCTAATTTGTGATTGATGATCAGCTTATCGATGAGATGGAGGATATGGTGAAGGGGGGTGGCACCATTGTGGACTATCATAGCTGTGATATTTTTCCAGAACGATGGTTTGACGCGATTGTGGTGTTGCAAACCGACAATGGAGTGCTGTATGAGCGGCTGACAAACAGGTTATACATTGTTAGAGGAACCACTCTTGACACGGGCAAATCGACGTAGTTGACTTAATCGATAGAGAGTTTACACTATTTGTGTTTCTCTTGATTAGTCATGTTTTGCTATGCAATCGCAGAAAGCAAGTCCACTTGCAGCCTTAATCTTCTGTAACAACTTCAATCCTATCTTTGTACTGTAAGTTGAATGTTCCATAATCCATGTTATTAGATCGCTGTAAGTGAGGTAGCGGTGGGTTCTGTTCAGAATTTTTTTCCTTAACTCTTTGCCTAATGGCTGAATGCAGAGGTTATACCGGTGCGAAACTCCAGAACAATATGGAATGTGAAATTTTTCAAGTACTTTTGGAGGAAGCACGTGAAAGTTATCCACAAGAACTTGTTCGAGCGTTGCCTAGCAACACCATTGAAGATATGAGTAATAACGTGGAGATTCTTAGTGACTGGGTCAGTGCGTGGTCCCCCCCTGCAGCGAATCTATCTTAAGGCCAGGCTGCCTGTAAAAATTATTATCGTCACTGTCAGTGATAATCATTGCGCAGCGTTTCATATTTTGGCTAAATAGTGCGAGTCTCAGTGAGATCGGAGTTGTTTGCAGAATTTGAGGTGCAAGTTATTGCCTCTTGCTGCATCTTTAACGTATTTTGCAACTTAATTCTGCACAGGGTTACACATTAGTGGTAATCAGCAACTCTATACGAAACCGATTTAACCTTCAATATTTCTGGAGCTTGCTAAGGCCCGCTTAATGTATTATGGGAATTTTCCGTACGAAATCGTTTACTGGAAATGGAAGACTGAGAAGAACTCCGATGAGGAGTCGGAGCGGTGAAACTGAGTAGGTTAATCATGCGAGGTCGTTCACACAAACTCATGCCCTTGCTTATCTCAACCCAAATTGGTAGCAGTTGCCAATGTTGTTCTAACCTTGATTCATACAGCGATGGGCATTCTTCCCGAGTTACCGATTTGTAGCAGGTTGGGAAATGATACTTAGCTTTCCTGAGGTGAGAGGGTGAGGAAGTGTGAAAGATGCCATCAGTGTACCTCAATTGGCACACTTTGCATGAGTACATGCTGGCGGTAATACGGAAGATGGATGTGTCACAAGCTGTGAGCTACAAAAGACGACCTAGGTGTGGATGAGTTACGCAGTTGTTTACTGGGGCCCTGGTCTGTTGTATGTCAGAACCAGGTCCCAGGACCCGAGTCTGTAGTTATAGGAGATCTACGTAAAACGTCGAGTGGGTCAATGACATGTGTGGGCCCATCGCTGGTTCAGGCGGCTGGCAATAACGGAAAAGCCATTTGGGAGGGTGATGGGGAGTGGATCTGGGGTACCGTGCATCAGCAGCAGCAGGGTTTTTGTTTGAAGACCTGCCAGCTTGCCCCACCGGGCGGAGCGACCAGCACCACCTGCCATCATAGTCATCGGTGGTGGGGTGCTGCAGAGAATGGCAGCCGAGCATCAGCATCAAAAATACAATGCTCCCTGTTGAGAATCTTTAGAAAGACACAATAGTAATAGTAAGTCATACACACACAAGAGTAGTAGTAAGTCATATACACAAGAGGGTTTCTAAGGAGAGAGAGCTACACACATAAAATTCTATTGATCTGGTTGTGTCTCGTATATAAGAAGAGAAAAGTGGAGAGGATGAACAATACTTCTCTACTAGATTCTAAGTATTGTAGCTATGGTATTTATTGTAATCTATAGTAAATGTTATGGAAAGCGTTGGCTATATTTAATGATTTCAACATTTTTCCTCGTTCATCATAATAATTACATGATATAAAACTTGTATAGAATTATGATCTATACTTTTTTGCGATCTTAGAAGATGAACAATTGTTGCCTCATTAAAACCTTATCTAGGAAAATCTTATTGTATTTAAGGACAAAACCATAGATGAAAGAAAAAGAATACAAAATTATATTCTTTAATTATTTAAAGAGTTCATTAACTTTCTTATTTAAGAAAATCAAGTCGTCGCATACCAATGCCAAAAGTACGTCGACGATGGTTGCACAATGGGAGAGCTTTGGTGAAGAGATCAGCAAGGTTATTTGTAGATTCAATTTTCTTAATTATAAGTGCTTGATTAGTAATCAAGTCATGGATATAACTAAAATACTTTGGATCAATATGCTTTGTCATGTCACCTTTAATGAAACCAACTTGCATCTGTGCAATACAAGCACTATTATCTTCATGCAAGATAGTTGGAGAGTCATCAAATGAAAATCCACAGGTTGTTTGAATGAATTTGTCAATTGATCGCAACCAAATACATTCTCGAGATGCTTCATGTAAGGCAATAATTTCTGCATGGTTGGATGAAGTTGCAATTATTGTTTCTTTCATTGATTTCCATGATATTGCAGCTCTATGTCTTAAAAATACATATCTTGTTTAAGATTAAGCTGTTGCAGTATTAGATTTATATCTTGCATCACAATATCCAACTAATCTTGGATCTACGGATTGTGTGTAGTATAATCCCAAGTCTTCAGTATCTTTTAAATAATGTAATAAATATTTGATGCCATTCCAATGTTGTAGTGTTGGACGTGTACTATGTCTTGCAAGAACACTAACTGCAAATGCAATATTTAGTCTTATAGATGTAGCTAAAAACAAAAGTGCTTTAACTGTTGCGAGGTATGGATATTGATCTTCCAATATTTTCTCCTCCTCCTTGCATGGATGATATGGATCATGACCATCACAACCACGTCCAACCATTGGTGTAGACAATGGACAATGGACAAGCATCAATCATATTAAATCTTTGCAAGATTTGTCTAATATATCTTAGTTGATAGAAAAAATGTTATCATCTGTTAGATGCATGATCTGAAGACCAATACAGAAAGTTGTTTTTCCTAGCATTTTCATCTCAAATTCATGTATAAGTAGGTTATTAGCTATAACACATGCACATGTAGTGTCCACTAGGTTAAGATCATCAACATATACTGCGATGATGACAAAACTAGTTTTATCTCGTTTGATAAATAAACAAGAAATTAATAGATCACTTATAAAATTATTTGTAATTAAATAATCTCAAAGACGTTGATACCACATGGGTTTGGATTGTTTTAAATCATACAAGGCCTTACATAATTTAATACCACAATATTGTCTTGGAGCGTGTTGATTTGGAGTTCCTATTTCTAAGCCAGGTGGAACTTTCATATAAATATTTGCATCAAGAGAACCATATAGATATGGAGTTAATACATCCATCAGATGCATTTCAAGGGTGACATGAACTGTCATTCTAATAATATATCGAAATGTAATTGAATCCATGACTGAAGAATATGTAGATTCATAATCAATGCCAAATCGTTGAATAAATCCTTGAGCAACAAGACAAGCTTTATAGTAGATTATTTGGCCTTGAGCATCTTGCTTACATATTAATACCATTTTATATCCCATAGGGTGAGATGTAAGAGTGTCTATAATTGGACCAAAGACTTTCTTCTTATACAAAGAGGCATATTCCTTCTCAATAGCAATTTTTTATTTTTGCCAATCAGAGTGATGCATCGCCTCCTAAATGGTTTGAGGTTTAGGATCATCTTCCTTGCAAGAAAGGGCTTCTATAATCATATATGCAAATGATTCATCTACCGTAATAGATGGTCTGTCTCAAATATCATCTGTAGCATAATACAGAATAGATAATTCTTTACTCAACTTGTTCTTATTCCTTCCAATTCCAAGATTGTTTTTCATAGGAATTGAAGGTACATTATGCATGAATATATTATCATGAATTGATAGTCCTACAAGATGAGTGGCAATTTCTTCAGAAATAATACCAGGATTAGTCAATTTTATAGCTTTCTTCTTACGTGGTTGCTTATCTAGTCCACGAATTCTTTTAGTTGTTGTTGTTATAACTTGAGGTATTGTAGTCAATGGCACTGCAATCTGAGCAAGTGCATTCTGAGCCTCATTAATAGGAACTCTTATAATTCTAGGTACATCATTGAAGCCATTAGGTGTTTCATTTGCGATCCGTTTTAGATGTAAAATCTTAGCAACTTTAGTTTCTACCAAAGATGTCATAGGATTGGAATTCATTGTAAACGTTTTTGGTACTTCAAATATGAGTACTTTATTTCTTTGTTGATTGGATATTCTTCCTTGAAGAGATGAGAATACATTTTCTTCAAAACAACAATTTTACAAATGTGCACGTAACAATGTGCCAGTTGATGGATCAACAATATGAATAATGCTTGGTGAATCAAAACCAACATATATGCCTTCTTGTCGATGAGGTCCAATGGTACGTCATTGAGGTTCTAGTATTGGAATCCAAGCACGGCAACCAAATACTCGTAAGTGAGATATATTTGGAACATGACCCAAAATGAACTCATGTAGTGAAACAATTTGAAGAGAAGAAGGGCGGAGGTGTATTAATGCTGCAACATATAAAATTGCATGACCCCACATAGATGCAGGTAAATTTGCGTGAATGAGGAGTGGCCGGGTAATGAGTTGTATACGCTTTATAAATGACTCTACAAGTCCATTTTGAGCATGTTCATATGGAACACAATATGTCAACTCAATTCTTATTGCAGTACAATAGTCTTCAAAAGACTTTGATGCAAATTCTTTTGCATCATCTATATGCAATGTTTTTATAGGACAATCAAGAAAATGTGCTTGAAATCGAATAAGCATAGATATAAGATTGGCAAACACCATATTTTGAGTTGATAATAATGAAACATGTGATTGTTTACATGATGCATCAAAAAGACCAAAAAATAACAAAATGATCTTGATATTGCATTAATAGGACCACAAATATCACCATGCAATCTTTCAAGCATTGGTGGTAATTCTTGTGGAAGTTTTCAAATTGAAGACCGAGTAATCATTTTACCTTGCACACATACACGACATAATTTGATAGAGTCTACATCCATAGGCTTTAAATTGTACACAGTTATACATAGAATGATTTTTCTAAATAATGTGGATCTTGCATGTTCCAATCATCCATGCCAAAGAGAAACACGACTCTTTGTGATAGATGATGTAAAATTAAATATAATGGGAGGTCGAATCATAATTTGATATAAATCATTTTCTATAGCAAAAGCTTTTTCAAAAACTTTATGATTCTTTGCAACATCTTTTTCTATTTAAAGTGGTGGTTGAGAGGTGATAACCATTAATACACACATCTTGATAGCTGATCAGAATCCGAGGTGTTGAAGGTGCAAACATTGCATGTTTAGATTTTATGATGGAACCCACAGGTAATTTTACCATCGCTGTGGCCTCTCGGAAAAAAAATACATTTTCTCCAGCCATGGTCATCATATTTTTAGTTTGCCAAGTTGAAGATTTTTCAACAAAAAATCGTCTATCTCGCAAGATAGTATGTGTTATTACAAAATCAATGAGCGCATCATTTGATTCATCATTAGAGGTTTTGTCATTCATATAAGCCTCTAAATCATCAACACCAATTGAATCCATTGATGCATCTATGGTATGAACTTCACGAGCCTTAGCTTGCAATTTCTTATTTTTTTAGAATATTTTAATAAAATATTTTGAAGTATGGCACACATGTGCTAAATATCCAATCATTCCACACTTATGGCAAGAATACATCTTTGATTTTTATTTTTTACTATAATTAATAGTAGAAAATTTATTCTTTCCATATGGGTAGAAATGGTCATGACTATGACTACTCTGATACTTATGAGCACGTTTCTCATGTTTACATAATTTCTTATTAGACTTTGAAATATTAAGTACATGAGATTCTAGAACTGTAGTTCTAATAGGACAAGCTTTCGCATTGTACAAGAATAGCTCATTTTGCTTCTCCACAAGAAGTAGATAGGACATGAGATTAGAATGACTCAGAAATTTTATGTTCTTATATTGTTGTGCAAGCACAGCAGATACATGAAGAAATGTAGAGAGAGTTTTTTCAATCATTTCTTCTTTAGAAATGCTTTGTCTACATAATCGTAATTGTGAAATAATATTATACATTTTATTATTAAAAGCATTTAAATTTGGAAAATCCAAGATACATAAATGTGTCCAATTATGATATGCACGTGGAAGAAAAATGGTCTTTTGATGATCAAACCTGGATTTAAGATTCTTCCAAAGTTTTGCAGGATCTTCCATTTCTAAATATTGATGTTGTAATGCACGTACAAGATGACGAAAAAGGAGAAGAAGTGCGTTCCAATGAATAGGAAGAGGTATAGAAATACTTATTGTAGGAGATTCTTCAAACATAATAGCATCTGAGAGTTGTTCTGCAAATAAATTTACTTTTGCCATTTTTGTCCATAATAGATAATTGTTTCCATCGACAATCAATGGTAGAAATAATAGAGCTTGAAAATGTTGGGATACACTAATAATAGTTGGAACCATCGTTGAAGCATTTGAAGATGTTGAAGTACTCATTATAAATAAATCTGTAAAGAAAATACAAGATCAAATAGAAAAGTTGAGTAAAACGTACCTTAAAATATAAAGTCAAATAAAATGATAAACTTGAATTTAAAAAACGAAATTATTATTATTATTATTTAAATAAGGTTGTGGATTAAGACAATAGAACAATAATAAGATGGCGGCAACAGGTAGTGGTAGGGTGGCAATAGTAGGGTGGCAAGGTAGCAACGGCGGGCAACGGCACGCAGTACCGACAGGCAACGGTAGGTGGCAACGACG